TGTCGTCTAATGTATATTATAAAGCCAGGCTGTACACATGTGTTTTGACTGCATTTTGAGGTATAACTTTAATTTCAGTTTAACCGGCTGTGGTCTCATCTGGATGTAGCATCATGTGCATACATGGGGTTCATCTTGAGTAATAGTGCTTTTGAACCATACCATTCACTTACACTGACTGTCTTTTTTTTGTCATTGCTTTACAAATTAAAGATTTTCCAAGTTGAATAATAACACAGATTTGTTATTATGAAATATGAGTTGTCAGTTATTATTTCTAAAGAAAATCTAGGCTAAGGGAAATACCAGTATGTAGACTCACCGGTTTGTGAAAATACTAATTGCCTGGCTGTCTCTGTTTTCACTGACCCAATAGTGAGGTCAGAACTTCTGAGTTGCACACTTGGACCAGGTCAGTACTCAGAAATTATTTTTAACACAAGGTCAGCAAAGCCAACCTACATATTTTACTTACTATAGATTTCCTTGAGCTAAATTAAATGACAATAAAAATTACAATAATTAGAAAATGAAAAAATATCGAACACTGAAATTGCATGAATTGTAAAATTTGATTTATAATCCCTATTTACCTGCTCCTGTGCAGTGTGTTATGTATATTGGGAAATCTGATGAGCCATGGAGATCAACTCTAGTGAATGTGCATTTATTTTATGGATGCACATGTTTGATTAAAATCAGCATAAGATATGCACATGGTATCACCTAGGATTGACAGCAAGGAAAATGAGCTTACATCCTTAGTAAATCAGGCCCTTAATCTAGGCACTGAGTGCTGTTTATACAGTAATTGGCTTATAGTTTTTTTTTCTAAGAGATAGAGCATGCCCTGGAAACAAAAACTACATCTTTCTTCCCACCCAATGCTTAGCAAGTGATAGAATTAGGAAAGCAATCAGTTAAAAGCTGGTGATAATAAAATTAAATCCATGCAACCCATGTCTGTGACATCATTATCTCTAGGCATGTTCCTTTATGCTCTCTCCTAACTACATGACAGAGACCCACCCTGCCTAACTGGGCTCAAGATCCTAATGTGATTTCCTAGCAAGTAGTGAGAAATGGAAGTACAGTGACATGCTCCAGACAGCCGTGCTCTGAATACATTAACCTGAAAAAGGTAGGGTAACCTTTGCAGAATTTAATATATATAAAATATTTGTTATATTAATTATGTTATGTGCATAAAGATATTGTTATTAGATGCATTTACTAAGCAGCACAATATCACTGCTATGATAGAATGGATGCAGTGTTACTCTTAGCTATACATGCATTTGAGAACTACTGATTCAAAATTAAAGCAGAATGTTTTAACAATGGCAAACCATGGCTCAATACCAGCAGCCACAGAACTATAAGATGCAGCATGATACAAACTATGTCTGGTATATTCACATCAGCTGAATAGACACATAAAAAGACTACTTCTGTGCTTAAAGGTTGCTTTCTGCTCCTAGATATTGTTGTTTGCACTTGATGTAGCAATATGTCTAGAGAGGAGTGGCTCAATAGAACTTTCAGTTAGTTATTGCTAGTTTTGTATATAATCATGCTGTAATAGATGAAAAAAGAAACTTGCCAAGCGTTGACAGATGGAGAAAAGAGAAGATGTTATACACTTTGAACTCATAATCATTTTTAATGTAGGATAGAGAATTAAAGGCAAGATAAGACTGGCTATTTTGAGTAAAAAGCATATTTTTACAAATCAGCCTGGCTGGGTACAAGCATTGCATGCTGTTTTCGAGTGATGATTACAAAGCAATCAAAGTTCCACACATCCTTTCCCAGCATATTTTACAAATCAGCATTACAGACAATCCTGTTTATAAATTCACACTGTGTCCAGGCTCTTGGAGTAGCATACTGAACAGGTGTAATTGGACATATGACAAATTACTCTTATGTCTGGAATCTGGGTTGGAATTCAGTTTTATGATAAGTCTGCTGTACATATGTTATGAGCAATACCAAAAGAGCAGAGCATTTTCAAATACTAACCTAGCCTACTTTTCTGTACTTTGGTTAAATACATAAATTGGCATGATATATAAGATTTAGGGCTGTCAAAGTACAGACAGTGGATACAATAACATTGGAGTAACGAGGTAAAGCAATGTGTGAAGTTGTAGTCTGTGCCTGTATAGATGACGTGGTGCCTTCTATTCTAGCATGTATTGATCAGTCTATTATGCCTGTCTCTCCCAAGAGATGCATTAATGTATCAGACTAATTGAATAGGTTGAACCATGTCATTCACTTACACTGACTTAATTATTGCTGGTTTTTGAGGTTTTGGACTCTGGAAAATCGCCAGTTTAAAGATAGAACCTTTTTTGTATGGTTTATTTTAATGTTTTTTCTCCCTGCTTTATTTTATTGTGTATATTATAATTAAACTGTAAAAATCTCAATGATTGCTCCAGGTATAAACATTAGACGAAATGAAAAAAGTAGTTTTTATACATAGCAAACAATAAGATACTTGTCAATTTTTTCTATTCTAAAATTGGCAGTAGGCATTTGTTGAGTTGCAAAAGGCTGTGTCTGCTTATGCCTTACCTACTTATTCAATATAGCCTGCCTAATACTCTAGTAATGTAGCGTAAGTATTACTGCATATACTCTGCAATTAAAATAGCCCATCATATTACCTGAAATTGTGAAAAAGACTTGCAATATAATTTCTCCATGGGATCTTGTGTCTCCCATGGCAAGTCTGATGGGGTTCATAAACAGACTAACAAGTCTTCTTTCCAACAGCCTCATAGGGTAGAAACTGGCCACGGAGAAGCAGAGCTATGGTTTCTTTCGAAATGTATTTTGAAATATACATTTAATGTTGTAAATATGTGAAGATGTAATGCTTGTATGTACAGCTGATGATAGTATTTTTTATTTTAAAAAATGTACCCTCAGCATGAACAGTGAGATATAACGAGCAGCACAGTGGCTAAACTATATGTATACATGGCTACCCTTAGCCTCATTGACATACTCCCATGTTGACTGAGTATGTGTATGAATATTTCTAGTGATGTTAGATTGTGAGTCCTCTCATGATAAAGGGTTTGATTTGAATGGCTTTATACACTCAGTGAAGAACTGTGTAATGTATTAGTGCTATAAACTGTACATGTGGGAAATTAATATGTTCTACAATTTAAAAGTTGGAATCAGGTAATATTACAAAGTCTGCCTTATGGCCATCAGTACTTTACTGTTTTCCCTATAAAAACTCAGCATTCACAGCATGGCACAAGAAATATAAAATAGACAAAAAAAAAACCCCAAAATTCTCTGGCATGCTTTTCTGGTGTGGAGAAAGTTCAGAACCTACCCCTGGGATCATGTAGACTGAATGGAATGCAGTTTTAGTTTAAATTATATATATTGCCAAAAGTATTGGGACGCCCCTCCAAATGGATTCAGGTGTTCAAATCATCTCCATTGCCACAGGTGTTTAAAGTCAAGCACCTAGACATGCAGACCTCTTCCACAAAACATTTGTGAAAGAATGGGTCACTCTCAGGAGCTCAGTGAATTCAAGTGTGGTACCGTGATAGGTTGCACCTGTGCAATAAGTCCATCTGTGAAATTTCCTTGCTGCTAAATATTCCACGGTCAACTGTTAGTGGTATTATAAGTGGAAGCAACTGTGAACAACAGCAACTCAGCTACGAAGTAGTAGGCCATGTAAAATGACAGAGCAGGATCAGCGCATGCTGAAGTGCAGGGTGCAGAAGTCACCAACTGTCTGCAGAGTCAATAGCTAAAGACCTCCAAACTTTGTTTGGCCTTCGGATTAGCACAACAGTGCATAGAGAGCTTCATGGAATGAATTTCCATGGCCGAGCAGTTGCATCCAAGCCTTACATCACCAAGTGCAATGCAAAGCGTTGGATGCAGTGGTGGAAATCACACCGCCCCTGGACTCTAGAGCAATGGAGACATGTTCTCTGGAGTGATGAATCACTCTTCTCTGTCTGGCAATCCGATGGACGTGTCTTGGTTTGGCGGTTGCCAGAAGAACAGTACTTGTCTGACTGCATTGTGCCAAGTGTAAAATTAGGTGGAGGGGGGATTACGGTGTGGGTTGTTTTTCAGGGGTTGGGCTTGGCCCCTTAGTTCTAGTGAAGGGAACTCTTAAAGCGACAGAATACCAAGACATTTTGGACAATTTCATGCTCCCAACTTGGGAATGGCCCCTTCCTGTTCCAACATGACTGCGCACCAGTGCACAAAGCAAGGTCAATAAAGACATGGATGAGCAAGTTTGGGATGGAGGAACTTGACTGGCCTGCCCTCAACCCAATAGAACACCTTTGGGGTGAATTAGAGCGGAGACTGCGTGCCAGGCCTTATCATCTGACATCAGTGCCTGATCTCACAAATACTCTTCTGGAAGAATGGTCAAACATTCCCATAGACTCACTCCTAAACCTTGTGGACAGCCTTCCCAGAAGAGTTGAAGCTGTTATAGCTCCAAAGGGTGGGCCAAATCAATATTGAACCCTACAGACTAAGACTGGGATGCCATTAAAATTAATGTGCGTGTAAAGGCAGGTGTCCCAATACTTTTGGCAATATAGTGTATAAATATACTGTGTGTATATAAATATATATATATACACACCATATTTCCAGAAGTATTGGAACACCAGCCTTTTAGTGATGGGCCGAACACCCCCCCGTTTGGTTCATGGTCGAACATTAACATTTTCAAACAGTACTGTTTTTAAAGGGGAAGTCATTTTTCGTTGCTTAAAGTGAAAACCTCTTACCGTCTGGCCCATGACGATAAATGGCCAGATGGGAGCATTGCCGACACAAGGGGATGTTTCTAAACGTCCCCTGCATCCATTGCCTGTGTGCGCTGCCTGGGAGTGCACAGTGCCGCGATCTGTCACTCGGACACAGCGGAACACAGGTTGCTGTACGGGGCCGCTGTGTGAGGTTCAGATTCATGTGATCACTGATTGGCCAATCAGTGATCACATGAACAGTAGTAAACAAAACATCACTTCCTGACATCCTTGTTTACTACTTGTGAATTATGTGAATGATTACAGAGGTCACATGGTACAAGGCCATTCACAACAGCCTTGTACCATGTGATAAGCTGTCACCAATTACAGCTCTCACAGTATTTCTCAATGGCAGCAGGAATGCAGCCAGAGAGTTGGAGACATGATTGGTTTTACAGCCTTTATGGTGTAAAAGCAATCACAGTGTAAAAAAAAAAATCTTGATCACCCCCAACAAGTAGTACAGTGTCACTATGTGTCACTTTTAAGGGGAACACCACCTCCCAAAAATGGTGGGGAAAGTGCGTGGGGTTCCCCCTAAAATCCATACCAAGCCCTTAAGGCCTGGTAGGACTTTTAAGAGGAACCCCACCCCCAAAAATGGGGCCACAATAATATCCCACCAGTGATCCGAGCACAGGCCTGGCAAGGCAGGAAAGGGGAGACAAACAAATGCCCCCCCCCCTTCCCTGTGGCTTACCAGGCCACCTGCCCTTGGCATTGGGACAGTGTCCCATGCCGATGGGGACAAGGGCCTCTTCCCCACAACCCTGGCCTAGTGGGGGGAGCTGCGAGCAGGGGAGCTCATTAGCATCAGGGTACCCTTTTAAAAACACCCCCTGCTTGTGATTGAGTAAGGGGTACTTGTACCCCTACCCATTCACTAAAGGGTTAAATATAGTTAAAAATAAAGAGACCAGCTTTTTTAAAAAAATCCTTTATTGAGCAAAAAAAACAAAACAAATATTTTTTGACAAGTCCTTAATTTAAAAAAAAAAAGCCAAAAAAAGGTTCAATAGTTTTAATCCATCACGACGATGCCGACTCACGGAAAAAAAAAAAAAGATGTCCGTCGACCCGTCCACACCCACGGAGCACTGCCAGCAATGTGACATTTGACCTGTGGTTAGGTGCATTGCTTTGACCAATCACAATGCACTGTGAATACGTATCACACAAACGGCTGCTGTTCAAGTCAAACTTATGTTGGACTCGAACATCCAACCCATCACTACTGCCCTTACACGCACATGAACTTTAATGGCATCCCAGTCTTAGTCCATAGGGTTCAATATTGAGTTGACCCACCCTTTGCAGCTATAACAGCTTCAACTCTTCTGGGAAGGCTGCCCACAAAATTTAGGAGTGTGTCTATGGGAATGTTTGACCATTCTTCCAAAAGCACATTTGTGATGTCAGGCACTGATGTCCGGATGAGAAGGCCTGGCTTAGTCTCTAATTCATTCCAAAGGTTTTCTATTGGGTTGAGGTTAAGACTCTGTGTAGGCCAGTCAAGTTCCTCCACCCCAAACTCGCTCATGTCTTTACGGACCTTACTTTTGAAACAGGAAGGGGCCATCCCCAAACTGTTCCCACAAAGCTGGGAGTATGAAATTGTCCAAAATGTCTTGGTATGCTGATGCCTTAAGAGTTCCCTTCACTGGAACTAAGGGGCCAAGCCCAACCTCTGAAAAATAACCTCACATCAAAATCCCCCTTCCACCAAACTTTACACTTGGCACAATGCAGTCAGGCAAGTACCATTCTCCTGGCAACCACCAAACCCAGACATGTCCATCGGATTGCCAGATAGAGAAGCGTGATTTGTCACTCCAGAGAACACGTCTTCACTGCTCTAGAGTTCAGTGCTGGCGTGCTTTACACCACTGCATCCGATGCTTTGCATTGCACTTGGGGATGTGAGGCTTGGATGCAGCTGCTTGGCAATGGAAACCCACTTCATAATCTCTACAGAGATTTGAACACTTGATTCCAATGATTTGGAGGGGTGTACCAATACTTTTTGGCAATATAGTGTGATATATATATATATATATATATATATATATATATATATGCACATTGAGAGAGAGAGAGAGCACTTTACCTTTACCAGTGGTGGCCCAGCCTTTATGGTACCGACTAACTGGCATAGCATGAATGTGGTTTCAATATTAAAATAGGGTCTAGATGTATGCCAGGGAACTACAGACCAGCTAGCCTAACATCATTAAGTAGCAGGGTGTATAAGGGAATGCTTGGGGACTCAACTGAAAAAATGGTCATAGAAAAAGATAATATTAGTACCAGTCAACATAAATTTATGAAAGCCCGCTTATTTCAGACCAACAGTCTACATAAAAGTAAGCAGTAGTTGGATGTACCAACTTCAAATGTGTTGAAACATATTGCTAAATGAAAGGCACTGCTGGCCAGGATGTTAAAATAGTAAACCTGAATCTCAGCAACCCTTGGAACTTGCATGTTCCTTGCTCAGTATCTCCCCAGGGATAAAAGAAAACCCAAGGACAGCACTACGGGAGTGCCAACATTTTATCTCAGCTCTGTGCAGGCTTGAGAGAAGATCAGGAGTCCAATCACCCAAAAAGTAAAATAGATTTATGGGGCTGATTGATGTACATTGCACCCACTGTGATACCATTATATGACATTTTGAAAAGGTCGTTTTTAACTGTTATAAAATAGAAAATGCTTGCATAGCAATGATAAACTGACTTATTTAATAAAAATGCAGAATGTTCCATTAAATTAAAAAGAAATAATTGAAAGAACGCTCCTTCTTTTGTTGTAGCCCACTTTAATTAGTCAGAATACACGGCTTTATTTCAGACTATGCATCGCCATATAGAATTTGAAATGAAAAGGGAATCTTCTTTCCAGATTTGTAATAAAAAAAGGAACCAGGCTAATTTCCTGTGCAGAGTACATACTATTGTAAGCATTCTTAAAGTAATTGGTAATAAAGCTAGGTGAATATATTAAGCTCCTAAATTAATGAATATATCATAAATATATTTTCCATAACTCCTGAGTATGTAATTGCTCAGTAAATAAGAGATAGAATGGTGTAATACTGATGCACTCTATAAATATGGAAAAGTTAAAATTAGCAAAGGTTTACATACAAAATTAATGAGATTAAAAGGGTCAACATAAACTGACCAAACTTTTTCTTTTACTATGTAGGTGAGTATGTTTGGTTCAAGTAATAATGAACATTCAGAACTGATAAAAATCAAGAGTGTGTTCACAGAAATTGTTCAAGTGTATCTATGACTCAAATGAACAATCATATATTATTTTCCACATTCAATTTCAATTATTTTTAGCCTACCCCTATTAATCTGAAGGATCATAACATTTTAAAGAATTCTCTTAAAGTATTACACAGATTTATTCCTGGAATTCAGTGACATTGTATATTTACTATGCCCTGTTTATATGCACTTGCTGTGTCACACATTTCACAAAGCCTGATTTTTGAACTACAGGAGTAGGAATATTGTTAGAAGAAAGGATGCTGCTCTTTCCGCACATGAAGTCCGGTCTATGGAATGGCCTCAGCCGTAGCACCGGCCACACCCTCAGACACGTTTCCCCCACCCTCCAGGGCTTGGTCACGATTCCTCTGTGACCAAGCCCCAGTGGGCCTGATGAAATGCATCAGAGGGCGTGGCCGGCACGATGTCTTAGGCCATTCCATAGACCAGACTTCATGAGTGGATAGAGTGGCGTCCTTTCTTCTAACAATATTCTCAATGACTGGAAGCATTTTTGGATACCGCTCTCCCTTCTTCTGCCAGATAGGTGACTATAGACTGTATTTCAGCTTGGAGCGGCGCCAGTAAGTTTTTTTGTGTCAGTATACAGGAGTAGGAATGATTTGAATGTACCTGGGTTCAGTTCAAGCAAAGCTTGGTGAATATTATATAAGTTTAGATACTGATTCCTAAAACCTGTGAAATCAATGTTGAATCCATAAAATCAGTAATATCAATTTCCTTAGATACTGGGCTATGGATTGCCAACAAAGTGATGGGGGAATGGGCACTGACCTGGACGATATGTACTAATGGAAAAAAAAGTTTTAAAAATGAAATTTGACCAGGCACAGCAATTCTAACTAGACAATCTACAATTTCTGGGGAAATTGTGTAAAGTGTTCTTGCCGCAACCTTTACCAAATGATTGATGAAATGTAAGCAGGGCACATTGCAAGCCTGATAGTGAGAAATGCATTTCAGCTTGTATTTTGAAGCTCACAGTCCAGCCTCGTGAGTCATCTGCCTCTTGAGTGACCTTTGGTTGCTGCACCTGGAGAGGGGGCGGAGTAGGCTCACTGTGCTGAGACAGCTGGGTTGCTATGACAACTCACTCTGAGAGGAATGTCAGCATGTCTGTTCTAAACAGGCTTTTTAAACTTGCCAAGTTCAATTGCGTGCTAAAATTAGTATTAATTAAATATTAAAGAAAAGAAACATAGTGTCTTATCCGGGATATCAATATTTATTTTTATTTTAATTTTAATTTTTTTTTTATTTTAATTTTAATTTTAATTTTATTTTATTTTAATTTTATGTTAATTTTAATTTTATTTTTATTAATTTTATTTTTATTTTTATTTTAATTTTATGTTAATTTTAATTTTATTTTTATTTTAATTTTAATTTTATTTTAATTTTTTTATGTTAATTTTAATTTTATTTTTATTTTAATTTTATTTTTATTTTTATTTTAATTTTATGTTAATTTTAATTTTATTTTTATTTTAATTTTATTTTATTTTTAATTTTATTTTTATTTTATATTTTAATTTTATTTTTATTTTATGTTATTTTAATTTTATTTTTATTTTAATTTTATGTTAATTTTATTTTTATTTTAATTTTTTTTTTAATTTTAATTTTATTTTTATTTTATTTTTAATTTTTATTTTAATTTTATTTTTTTTTTTTTTAATTTTAATTTTTTTATTTTATTTTTATTTTTTCTCACTTTCTCACTTCTCACTCTAATGTGACTCAGCTGCCCCCTGAGTGACCTTTGGTGCACATGTGACTCAGTCAGTCACAGGTGTGTGACAAGCTCTGCTCTAAACACACTGCTCAAACTTGCCAAATTCACTGGCGATTGCCATCTTCAAACGCTTGTATTTTTAAAAGTATAAATG